AAAGCAAAAGCAAAAGCTTCACACGCAAGCAAAGCAAAACAAGGAATTCATTCACTACTTCCCATCCCCAGGAAAGCAGGGCTCTATCACGCATAATGGTTACTTGGGAAGACAGACGCCATCACTCCAAATGTCCCCCCTTCCTTCTTCTTCCCCCAGTTTATATACCGGGCATGACACCATACGGCATGGAATAGCCCTTTGGCCAGTTGGAGTCAGCTGTCCTGGCTGTCCCGCCCCGCCCCCAGCTTCTTGTGCACTGGGCAGAGCATGGGAAAATGAAAAGTCCTTGACTGGTGTAAGCACTACTTAGCAACAACTAAACCGTCAGTGTGTTATCAACATTATTCTCATCCTAAATCCAAACTACAGCGCTACACCAGCTACTAGGCAGAAAATTAACGCTATCCCAGCTGAAGCCAGGACAGCATCCACCCCTTATTCCATACCATTTACATCCCGCTCAGGTCCCACACTATCCAATACAACCTCATTAACCACCACCCCCTTCCCATCCTTTGATACAATACACAGGTATCATTCCCTTCGTCTATGGACCACCCCTGTGAAATGCCTGTAAAATGTCCACAAAATGTCCACTGAGTTCATTTATTCCATGACTTTGGGCTCCATCCGTGATGGTGGTCACTCAGGACAGGAGAGGTGGTGTGCTGCATGGAGTTACTGGGCACCAAAGCCAGCTCAGGTCGGGTCACTGCTGCCCTTGCACCGCTTCTTGTAAGACCTGTCCTCCACTGGTTCAGGTGGTTCCTGCTATAGGAATTCCTATAGCGTGCAGCTCAGATCATGGCTTACAACAATTTAAAGGTATTTCCATTACAGTCTCCACCCCTGGCCCCTTTGGGCCAGACCATAGGGCTTAACATTGCAATGAACTCCTCCCCTTGCCCTTGCCCCGGCTTGGGCTTATCCACAGACTGCAGTCCCTTAGGGGTGTACCTGCTCCACATGGAGCCTTACCTGTGAGCCACAGTCTCTCCAGGGGCGTACCTGCTGTGGCATGGACTTACCCACAGACACAGTCTGTGCTTTGTATTTTTCTGGACTTCCTGACTTCATTGAAGATGGCCCTACAACCTTTGCAGCTTGCGGCAGGCCCCTCATTGATTATAAGCATCAGGACTTCACTTATTTTGTGGGCCTGTAGCAGAGCCCAGAGGCTGTAGGAAGACGCAGAATGCAGGGCACAGCTCGGCAGAGCAGCTCCTGAGGAGTGGCCGACACGGGGGGCTCAGGGGTGCAAATACAGGGCAGGAGCTGTTGGAAGGAGTGGGCTTCCTTCCCTGGAAGTTCGGGAGAAGAGAACGGGTTTCTAAAGTTTCTCAGATGGGTTTTGCAGTTGGATTTTCGGCACCCCCACAGCCCAGGCAGGGCCCGCAGCCCCAGAAAACCACCCCCCACCGCTGAGTGCCTTTCCTCCAGCCTCGCCTGGAGCCTTGTCCCAAAGCAGTGGCCTTTTCCCGCAGGGAGCACCCGGGGCGGGACAGGCCGAACCAGGAGCTCACCCCACTGGGCCCTTCACCCCCTCAAGCCACACAGGTAGAAACCAGTGTAACCTGCCAAGCCCACCCTTAGATCCTTACTGGAGCCGCCTGGGCCAGCCCAGCCTCGCCTGCAGCTGGGACCGAGCTAATTGCAGGGTCACATCATGGGGCAGAGGCACTTGGGGGTGCCCTGGCAGCAGCCCCTCGCCCGCCATGGGCTAACAGCCCCGCAGAGCCCCTCCAGCGCTCCCCGCCGCCCCCTCCCCGGGCCAGGGGAATGGGGTGCCGTGCCAGCTGCCCCCGTCCCCTGCTCCTTAGAAGAGCAAATCTACCACTTTCCCTTGGTGAGGAAGCTGGGGCACGTAGGATTCAGTGTGGCCAAGGCCAGATTTTGATGGTAACAGTAAAAAGAGGATGGTGAAGAAATTTTCTGGAGAGGCTAAGGAAAGGTGGTGGGTGCTCATCTTTCCTATTTCAGGATTAAGTACTAGATGTGTTCCCAGGCTGATGGCTCGAGAAGGTGTAAGAGGAAAAGCTGTGTCTTAGAGAAAGTCCATGGGAGGCAATTGTGCTGCTCCTAAAATGTGGGACACCACCGGATCCCCAAGCCTGTCTTTGATATCACAAGAGGAACCTAAACTCCAGGGTTGTATGGGTCACTCCAGCATGTCTGGTTGTCCTGGCTAAGGGGTGAGACAAAATTAAAAGCAGGAGCCAGGTCTATATGTGGAAATGTAAAGGAAAGGCAGGTGCCATGAGAAAAATGGATATAATTAAAAAGACACTGCTCTTGGTAGTAGGATTTTGGAGAGAGCTGCGTGGACACAGTGGAGGGAAAGTCAAAGATAAAAGATAAATGTGGAAGAATTATGACAGCATAAATATGTTACTTCTGCTACAAAAGCACTTACGTGTTATTTCAAACAGCCTCTGTCTGCAGCTTTGTACAGAGTACGTCTGCAAGGGCTCTTCTGTGGGCCTCTGCCTGAAAACTGCACAACATGGGCTCATGCAAACAGCTTTTGAGATGACTTTCTTATCCTGAGAACAAGGAAGGGATTCGTTCCAGGTACAGAGCATTAGCTGCAAGTCACAAAATTCAGTTGCTAATATCACTAGGAATCGAAGTATTTTTAACAGGGTTGATGTTAGTAATTTTAGGGTGTCTTCTGAAGAGAGACATAAAAGGAACTACAAGGATTTAGACTAAAGTCTCCTCTGCAGCTAGTGGAAAATTGCAAGAAATCTTGCATTATGTTGAGTTTAATGTCTGCAATACAAAGCCTTGAACATGCCAGACATCACCTGGCCCAGCACGCCCAGTCAGACAATCACATCTCTTACTGGGAATCAGATGGGGGACATTCAGGAATTATCTAAGGAGGGAAGACCTGCAAATTGTGAGGTTGCTCTGTCGTGGTCTAATATCGGTTCACACATCTCTCCTGGGACACTGATATTGGCTGGCAGTGGTGGTTTTGCTACAGGCATCTGCAATATTGCAGGGCAAGGTTGTTCTTTCACCTCGGTGTCATCTCTGTGACGGAGCTTCAGCAGCAGTGACAGCAGTGCCACCAGGTCTAGTGTCTCAAGAGTGTCCCTGATTTTGCTAGATGTGAAGTTAGCTTCAGGTTTGTGTTGTGGTGGTCTGACAAGGCAAAGGGACATCTTGAAGTAAGGCCACTGCGGACAGTGAAATTATGAGCCGAAGGGCTGATGTTGCTCCAGGTGGTTGCACTGCGGCATTTGCATGTGTTGTATCCTAGGACTGAAGCTTGTTTTGTGGGATAAAACCCAAAAGCTGCCAGTCTTTTGCCTAGGGTTGCATCTTACCTCACACACCCTGCTAAAAGGTGAGCGATAACAGAAACTACCCGCACATTATTAGCCAGTCAACAATTTTGTGATGACAGTCAGAGACTGAGAACAGCACTGGGAGGCAGATATGCAATTCCCAATTGCTTCAAAAAGGAAAAGCAACCTTGACCTGATGTAACACGGTGTGCAGTAACAGCAGTTGCATACTTCTCACTAATTCAGGGTGCCCTGTGAGCCTCGGATGAGTTGTAACCAGATCACACATACCTTTACTCCTGCTGGCCTCAGAGCCTTGCAGCATAATGCCGGCTGGTTAATGCGAATCCCCAGCGAGGAGGGGGATGCTCAAATCGCCATCTTGCCTTGGGGCTCAATTTCTGGAGGCTGATGCCACCTCACACCTTCAGACTGCCCCTAGAGTTCCCTCTCCTCACAGCTCTGAGTTCTGCCCAATGTGCCCTCAAGCTTTCTGCTATGTTTTTGGTAGGCAATTTGTATGGTCAAAAAGGTCGATCGCACTGCCGTAATTAAGATGATGCCAATCTAGAATAAATGACTTTACTCATTTGCATGCCTGTTACAATCATCACCTTTGCTATAACAGCATTTGCCTCTGAAGCTGACGGAAAATCTCTACTACTGCTGAGCTGTCCTGGAAGGGGTGGGACATTCTGATCCCCTGAGGAGGCAGCGATGGCGATTTGTGCAATGTACCACCTCACCGACACCAGCACATCTGCACCCAGGCAAAAGCAGGAGGGAAGAACGCACCAAGGTTCAGGCAGCCCTTGAAGGCTGCAGAAAGACACGAGAGATTGAAGCCTTTCTCTGCATCCCAAAGGTGATGTTGTGTCGCATGTCCCTGGGGACCCAGAGTAGGTCTATTTGTATAAAAGTTGTCTTCTGTTTCTCAAAGACATATTTGTGGTTGCCGTTTGTTTGCACTGCACACACCAAGATGTGGCTCTTAATGTGTGCAAAGTCTGCAGCACTGTAGGCAGGAGAGGGATGAAACGTCCTGACCTTGTGTTCTTGAGGACAGATGTACAATCCCTGGATCTGAACACAAATATCTAAAGCAATTTCTGCTACTGCACCGGGCTGGGAGGGCGACAGAGGGGGGACTGAATTAAATTGAGTCCCCTGAACTGAGTTTCAGGCAGGTCAGGCTTAACAGGGCCAGAAAAGAAGTGATTTGTAATGTTCAGAGGAATGAAATCATAATACATTAGGGATGCTGTTACATCCTGTATGATGCCTATACCTGCTTTTTAAATTAATGGCTAGGTACCAATATTTGGGAGAGATGCTGGAACGCAGCATGTACAGGGTTTTGCAATTTCTGGCTTCAATGTACTCCAGCAAGAAATTATTTTGGACATGATTTTGGAATAAGGTCTACGTTTATAGCTCCTGTCACAGAAAGAATAGCCATGATTTCCCCTCCAGTAATACACTTGTTTAAATTGAGCCTTGGGTTTCATGTGGTATATCTGAGACTAGTGTCTCTGTGGTAGCCTCCTCAGACCTGTCAACATCAACACACGTACACAGCGTGTCACTGATATCTGATATAGCTACAGAAACAAAATCTGTTTGCCTGCAGGCCTTTTTCCTGTGTTGAGAGTTGAGTTACTGGTGACTGTTGTGAAATTTCAATGAAAGGGTAGGATTGGAGAGCTGTACTGATCTTGGGGATTTTGAGAGCTCTCATTGTCCAGTCACACCAGTAAAGCTGTACTGAGACTGCACAAATGTCTGTTCAGACTCCCATCACAAATGATGGACTCATCTAAAAAGCAGATAAAATAAATAAAGAAAAGGAAAAATATTTTCCTTTGTGTTCTGTTTTGCTCTGCTTTCAGGTAAAAAAACTGGCAGCCTCCCATCGTCTGGGCAATATTATTCGCTGCTAGGAGAAGGATTTGTTCATGTCTATGGGCCAGTCCAGAAAAAAGAAGCTCTGAGCAGCAGAGACCCTCCTCTAGCTCTAGCACACAGTGCCCATGGTGAAGCCCCATGGTTAGAGTCTATTATTATTACCATGGGATTTTGTTTTACTGTACCTATTTATTAAAAACTGAGATCACAGCTCTCCATCTAGGATCACCAGGGCAGGTGCATTTTTACCCAGGTATGAAATCCATGGCTGAGAATTGTGTGGCGTGCGGCTGACGGACAGATGCAGTGGGTGACTTGTGGCCTCCCATCTCCTGAGCCCTGAATTCAAACCGTGGTGGATTATAAATGAAAATAGGTTTGCGTCTGTGCTTTGTTTTACAGCACAGGAGCCCCGGGTTTGGTCTCTCACAGGCATTAGCACAGTTAGCTCTTGGGCAAAGGACACGTCGCGGAGGAGCGTGGCACGGAGGGGTACAGGCTCTGCGGCTCGTGGGAGTTTGCAGGGGGAGAAGACAGGGTGCCAGCACATCGCCAGCACTGTGCAGATGTGCAGGTGGGACTGGGAAAAGAGAAGATACATGATGGCTGGAGGGATACTGACACATACTTGCACATGCATGGATGGTACACATCCCTCGTTTTCACAAGCTCAGCAACATACGCAAATGTAAAGGGAGAAAATGAGCACTCCAGCCTTCGTGAGGATGGGTTAGAGTGCTGCACTAGGCAACTCGCATTCCTTCTCCATCCATCTTTTTCATCCCTAAAGTTCATACACGTACACTGGCACTTGCCTATCTCCTTTCAGCTGCTGGCTGGAGTTCCCTTTGCGTGGTTGCTTTTTCTGTGGCACACAGTACTCGGCAGCGTCCGGGAGGTGGCAAGCTTTCAGTTCACATT